CCACTTATGCCCTCCACGGTTACATATACCATATCCTTCAAGGCCAGTAAATCACAGTCTCAAGTCATGTCAAATTTTGTGAAATAAAACTAAATTGCAGTTGTCCTCTAAGGCAAGAAGCTGCAAAATTGAGAGAGAACGAGCTCTGTTTAAAGCCAGAAATCTGGTTGGCAACCTCCCACGATGTATGGGGGCAAGGATCACCAAAAACCTCTAAGTAAAAAAGAAAAGTCTGATACAAGGGAGCCCAGAGGACCCTTTGTGCCACCCCAACAAGCTGCCTCCATAGGTACTTCTATGGTCTAATGGCAAGAGTTAAAACTGTTCCAAACTCTCAGGATTTCTCTATATAAGCTGAGCCTCCAGTCCCCCACAGCCAGGATGCAGAGGGCTGGGAGCAGGACGGAGCCAGGCTCCAGCAGCATTTATTCATTGAGGCTCGGACCCTAGGCCGGCTTTGTGCTTGGGCAGAAAACTGGGGAGCTGATGGGATCATAGCTGCTTCTTTTAAGAGCTTTTTGTGCAGGCAAAAGTTAGAGAAGTACTAACACAGCAGGTTTTTTTCTCAGCTGAGCCCATCTGGGTTCACTCAAAGTGCTGGGCACCTCACCAGGGACTGGGGAAACTGAGGACAAAGAGTACAAAAAAAAAAAAAAATTACCCCAAACCCACCCTTTACATTTTTCAGGGGCACAGTGACTTGTCTTTTCCCTTCTGCAGCAGAGTTAAACTTTCATGACAGCTGAATTAAGTTGGAGAAGAGCCACCGCCAGGGACAGACAGCACCATGCTAGAATAAGAGCAGGGAAGACCTGTACCACTGCTGTGCTTGCTAATTCCCCTCCCCACATCCCACACAGCTAATTCACAGGGGGCTTGAATTGCTCCACGTGTTGCAGATTCATCATCACACCACGGCACAGCATCCAGCCTGGCACAGACACCAGGGCAACTCTTTCACCCCATACAACCACCTCTCAGCAAAACCCTTGCAATAAGCACTGCTATTTTGGAAAACCCTATTTAAAAGCTTGCTCCATGGTCTAAGCTCAGGAGGATTCTTCACTTTGCAAGGTGACCCCACACCGCATCACATGAGCCCAGAGCATGAATAAGGTGTGAGCTCTTCATGTGGAACAACAACCTAGAAGCAGGAAAGATCCAACCCACAAAAAAAAGAGGAAAATTATGAGCAGCCATGACAGAGACCAGGAAAAATGCAAAACATCTCGTGCCAGATCCTTAGCTGATAAAAAACCAATGTGCATAACAGCTTCAGGCTGGGATACGCTTAGACATCTCTGAATGTTTAATGGGAGCGTACACATCAGTTAATCAGCAGCACAAGACACAAAGCATTTTGTACCTCCTCTCCACGTGTTGTGCAATTAAAAGGCTTCTCATTCAGGCACAGAGAGAAAAGTCAAGGGACTTTGGCTGTGAAACATCCATTATTCAAAAGTGTATCCATTATTCAAAGTTTTTCTTAAAATCCTATTGTCAGCTTGAAAGGAAAAAGAAAACGAGTTTTTGAAAGCTGTGCTCCGTTGATATTCCACTCCAATTTTTGCTGATTGTTAGTACTAAAACTCCAGGCATTTTGAAGAACTGAAGAAATCCTTCACGGTTCCTGAGAAAGGCAACACCCTGTGGGTAGTTGCAATTTTTTCCACCTCACTTAACTCTACCTAGCAGAGTTGTGATACACCCTGGCCAACAGCATGCTCCTTTCCCAAATTGCTCCGCTACCCCAGCGTGAGGCTGATGAGTGTCTGTTCAGGAGAGGGCAATAACAAATTACTCAGCAAGCAGTAGCAGATTCTCACCATTGCACCTGACCAGCTTATTGACACCCATAAGCTCAGCTCAGCTGAATGAAGTCTGGGTAGGATGCACAACCTTCTCACAGCACCTGGGAGCTTCATGTGGGGTGCCAGGACCAGGCTGCAGGAGGTCACATGGGAAATGAGTCCCAAGGATGCCTCCCACCTCCCAGATGCAGGTGCAGAGGGGCAGCAGGCCCCACAGAGCCAAGGCAAGGGAAAGCCCAGCACTACCACAGCTCCTGCTGCAAAGGGAAGACATTGGGACAACCAAACAGTGCTGCTCTGGGGAAGATGTCACACAGGAACCACCTGGATGGTGGAAGATCTTCAGCAAGAACAACAAACGATCAACTGCTAACACTAGGATATAAAAATAAGTAGTAAAGGAGGTTTTACCTCCTCTAGGAGCTGGAGGACCTAGAGGGAACAGTGTTTGAAAGCCCCCAGGTCCAGGCATCAGGCACCTCTGTAGGGATGAGGTAGGTCTAAAGTCTAGCTGGCAAGTCAGTCTCCAGCTCAGAATCAGGTCTAGAGGGAGTATCCAGGTCAAACATGCTTGGCTGGGTCTAAAAGCAGCAGGGTCTAAGGCCAGTCTGGCTATGCTGAGCCAGAGATTGGTGTTCCTACAACACAGTTTAGAAAAGAAGTAAAGCCCCCAGGCTGAGCTTATATAGGGCCCCAGGTCCGTGGGTGCTCAGGTGAGGTCAGTCAGGGCCGCTAAAGCTTATTAAGGCACTGAGAGGTGCAGTAGGGGCCTATGGAGGGGCACAGCAGAAAAGGGTGGGTTTCTGCTGTGAGGCTGGCTGATGAAAAAGGACAGAGCTGGAGTGAAACAGTGGTTGAAGCTGGGTATCAGGTTAAGTAGTAGAGGCCAAAGCCTGAAACATGTTCTACAGCTATGAGATAAAAAAGGTACTTGTTACTTTGTCTAAAATAACTATTTGTGAGCAAAAAGCAGAAGTCTCTGAAAGAATTCCATATTACTGAAGAGATAGGGCTGTAAAGTATGGGGGTCTCTGAAGGCCTGAAGACTCTTCTACTTGGGAAAAGGAAGATCAAGAAAAGATGTAGCAGGGGTAAGCAGTGCTTAGTAGTGAGGGACTTGTTTCTTCAGGGCTTATTGTAGTAGAAATAATATAAAAAAACACTGTCAGGTAGAATTAAAATCAATTTGTTTAGGTTTTCTGTGTCTGTAGTGTATAACTAAATTGTGGAACCCCTGTGGTGTGACCTGAAGACACTAAAGATACTATTCCAACAAAGCAAACTGATGGAAGGATGATGATTGAAGGCTAATAAATGCAGTAACCTAGGTGTAATGTATGACTTAAAGACTTTAAATAATGCTGGAAGCTCAGTGGGTGCAACAGGATAAGGGTCCTGCTCTTCCACCATCAGACTAACTACTACCATCAGACTACTAACTTTATGTGTTGTCAGACATTTAGGGGACAGCCTGAACATGTAAAATGAAACCATTGTTCAGTGATCTTTGCTGACTGCTATCTCTAAGCAGCACATTTACCTAAAGCACAATGGTGTTCCAATAGTGGATACTTCTAGAGTGCTTCCAGGACACTAAAATGAGCTGGATGTTATCTACAGGACAGCTACAGCTCGCAGCTTATTTGGATAAATTCTTTGCTGCAATAGACCATTTTCTGCTATTACCAGTGAAATAAGCTAAAAAACCACTTCTTTTCTTCTGCAATGAGAAGCTGTGCATAATGTGATGAATTTGCAAAGCTTTTAAAGGATGGATGAGAGTTAAATAACTCCCTCCAGGGTCTAAGGCACTGCAAAGCAGGACTGGAGTTGCTGCCATAATAAAGGCACGCTAAGAAAGCCGGGAGGCTTATTGCAGCAGAAGCAGCGCTTTGTAATCGGAGGCAACGCTGAAGCAGCTTGTGTAGCTAGAGTCTAAGTGATGCTGGAACAGCAGGGCACAGCACAGACAAATTTAAGTATTGTCAGATGAAATGGTTTGACTGTTGTGTCTCCACAGTCCGTTGTAGTTCAAGTCTCTCTTGTTAAGCTTCAAAGAGTATAGCCAGCCTGTTACCAGTTTCAGGTTCCTTTTGTTTGCAGCGATGCTTATGAAGGTAATGGTATCTGTAATCGCCCCTCCTGGGACCAAGCTGGACTGATACAGGGTCAAGAGCATATTCCTTCTCCCCAGGTGGAAATGACCGGGCATGCGGGTGGGCAAGGGGGAGGGAAGGCAGGAGAGCAGTCTCCCTTCTTTGCTGGTCACTACTGGAGGCAGGATGGGCCAGTGACTTCATTCCCTGTTCAAAACATACATGCAAGCCTTTACCCCTCCACTCATGCCTTTCTTGTTTTGGTCTTCATTTCAGATCAGACCTTTCTGTCAAGCTGCTTATCGGATGCCTGACGGGGCACTGCTCTGATGTCCTACGGCCGTGGTTCCCAAACGGGTATCGGTGGGACCCCAGTTAGCCTCAGTTGCTCTTTGTACGGCTCAAGCTATGCAAAAAGAAGCTGGAAGAGAGCTGTTCCTCTGCTCCCACAACCAATAACCACAGCCAACACAGGATATTAGGCTGTTGTCAATAAGGGGAAAAATGGCCCACAGACTACTGATGGGGTTGGAGAAGCTGTGTAAGAAGTCGGCTTACATCTGGACTATACATGTGACACTGCCACTGAGAAATGTTCCTGGGTCAGATTTTGAGTGCTGCGTAAATTTATTCAAGATTTTGGGAGGCTAGGTAACCTGGTCAAAATCACTGATCCTGCAGCTGTGGTGATACAGGACATTCACAACATACGCTCGATACTGAGGGATCCTCTAATTTACTATATAACACACACAAGTACAGTCATGCAAGAAATCCCTGGGGGATCCCGTGGGGTCCCCTGGGCTGTGTGAAGGCATGAAGAAAAGCATCAGCCACCCAACTGAGCAGTGGCTGCAAAGGTTCCCCCTCTCACCTCTGCAGGAGCCTTTCCAGCTGGGGGTTAAGCCAAGAAAGGGAACAGGCTAAAAGTACACAGCCATCAACAGCTACCCCTGTTCAGCTGACGTGCAGCAACTTCTTAAGCCACCACAACTAAGTTGTGTCCCTGACTCATTTGACTTGTCCGCTGTTGGGGTGGGAGATTGGAGAGTCTCCGCCTCTGGCTGAGTCCTGGGGAAACAGCGCATTTACTTCACAGAGATGATGACAGCCTTTCCTGGGACTTGTGCTGGAGCGTGTGGTTGAAGGCTTCATTTACTTGCAAACACAAACCCCTGGGTATGTATGGTGATGGCCATCAGGGCAGGGCTTTGCAGGGAAGGAAGGGGCAGAACGAGGACACATGGGAGAAGTCTGCATCTGAGTCCAGGCTTTCCATCCCTGAGATCCACTGCTGGGATTGAAATAACTCAGGATCAGACAAGCTCCTGGGTGTTCATCTGCCTTACATCCCTGAGTGTGCTGGATGGTGGCTACATAAGTATTTCTGAAGAACTGAGCGATTATTTAAGGATTAAAATACCATCAAATCAGGAAAAAAGAAGTGTTTTGAACACCTTCAGAGTTGCTCGGGGAAAAATGCAAATGAAGGCACATCAGGATCCACTAATCCACTTCTAAAATGTTATCCCAGAACATTATTCTTTAAGACCACAAACTCTTTGGTATGAGAGTGAGAGGTTTTATATAACTTTGCCATTGAGAACATCACAATTCTGGCCTTGCAGTACTGAACTAGGAGTTAATGACTCCCTGGCTGAAACCCAATGAAAGATTATTAAAAAAGGTGAGGAGAAAACAGCATTTCTTGACTTAATATTTTTGTTTCTTAGAGAAGCAGGACTCTAGAGGCTTATGTGCCAGGGGCCTAACTGCACACAAAACCATGTTTCTACCTACACAAAAAGAGCTTTGCTAAAATAATTCTGAGGAATCTGCACCATGCTTACCTCTTCCAGTTTGAAGAGTGCTCCAACATGGGGATGGATATTTCCCTCCCAGCAATACTGGGGAATGGAGGAGACAGAGGAAAAAACAGGGAAATCATCTTCCTGGTACTGACTTGGTATGCTCCCATAGCAGACACGTTCTTCAGAAGCAGCAGGTTGGTGGGAGAGGATTTTTCCTCTAGCAAAACCCATCCCCACAGTCCTGCCCTCCCACGCCAACCTGCAAGGAGAGGGAGGGAAGAAACAGATCTAGTAGAGGTTTCCCACCTTGTCTTGAGGAAGTACTTGCATGCTGAGGAGGGCTGAAGAGCTGTGGATGCTGAGCTATCACATGTGAAACACTGGTCTGGGCTGTTGTATTTTAGTTTCGGTTTTCAGAGAACATACTTAAAACCCTAAAAAAAAAAAATGCAACAAGCCAAGGTCCTATCCCACCCACACCCCCTCTGTGTGCACAGCGGGCTCAAGCACAGGCATTGCCCCTGGGAGGTGGTGAGCTGCATCTGGACCCTGAAACAGCCTCCCCTTGGCTGCATCTCTGCAAACAGAGCCCAACAGGTTGACTTAACCTTCCCTGAAAGGGCAGCAAAACCTTCAAACAGGTCAACAGCATCACCTGTGCTTGCACGGGTTTGTCATAAGGCAGAGCAAGGCAGGGTTTTTATTTCAGTGCAACTTTGCAGAGCTGCCTTGAAGATGTCCCTACCGATGGCCTCGACAGCCATGTCGACTGCTCTGCTGCTTGTGACCATCTTCACCTCTTCTCTGTCTGCTCTGGCTGCAGCTCATGCTGTGGCTTGTGCCACTCTTCAGAGCCAGCTCACGTGTGGGGTCACTTCCAGCTGCCACTATCATCTGAGACCAAAGGAAAACCCACCACCCAGTGTGAAAGCTGCTCTGCTCAGAGAAGCACAGAGCATCTCAGGCTGGAGGTATGTTTATTTTATTTATACCAAATGGGAAGCTGGAGTCAGAGACCCAACTCTCTCTGTATATATTTAAAATGTATATATGTATACAGCATAGCAGAAACATGTTATTGATTTCTGAAGGGGACAACATGTTTCAGGGCCACAAGAATCCCCCCTGCAATCAGGGATGTGCTGGGTACTGCAGCCATTTGAGGGGTACCTCCCTGGAAAGGAGGTCTGTTCCCTCCCTGGGCTCAGTCAGACCCAAGGCGCTGGCTCTGCCCCAGCACAAAGCTTTGATGTTGCAAAGTGAAATGATCTGCCGAGCAAGGATCCACGTTTGCTGGATGATTTTACAAGCAGAAGTACATTAACTCCAGGCTGCAGAGAAAATGTCACTCCTGTACCGTTCAGACAGACCGTGTAATTGCCTCTGCTGTGGGGCAGGGGGAGGAGGATTGCGTGAATCAAGGTGTAGACATGATTTCTGCAGGCTGTCCCCACCTCTGCTGTTGTCTCTCTGTATGAACGTCAGGAAGTTGCTTAATCTCTATGGCTTTGTCTAGTGACGTTTCTGTACTTCAGAGGAGCAGAGAACTCGGCATTTCAGCTGCTACAAAAAATCCAGTGAATTATGGACATCCCCCACTACAGCTCCCTAGCCAAGGCAGAGTGGTATGACTCCGCTGCTCCAAAACAGAGCTGCTGCCCTAGAGCCCCATCAGGAGAGATGCACATGGACAGCAAGCTCAGCTTCGGTGAGACAACTATGCAATGTTGCCTGCTCGGAACACTTCCCAGCGAGGGGAATGGGGAATTAACTCACCACTGCACATGGCCTGTGGTTTATAGAGCCTCTTGGTGCTGAACAGGTTAACCAGGAACATCAAATTCTTTGTAGAAAGTTCACATTGAACAGTTTTAAAGCTCACACAGTATCTGCAGGTTTAGTTTATAAGAGCTACCTTTCCTGCAGGCCCTGATAATTTAATACTGTTGAAATTCAACAGGTCGGGGCTGCTGCCCACATCTCTTGCTGGCTACATTCCCCCCTGGATGCTCTGCAGTCCTCACGTCCACAGGATCTGCATGCTTCCCTCCCTCTTAGAGGAAGGGAAAATCAAGGTGCAAACGTGAAATGATCTGCCCCAGCTTATACAGATGTGTGCAAAAGAGACAAGATGCCACAACATTTTTGACAGCTGAAACGCCCAGGTTTGGGGTTATGCGTTGCCCTCTGAGCTGCTGCTGCTGCCACTTACCCTGGCTGAAGCCATGCCCTATGGTCAAGAACTAGCGAGGCTGTGCCACACGTGGTCGGCAATGCCACCACAACCTCACATGACACCTTCAGGGATCTGCCACAGCATCTGCGTACAAAGACCTGCAACACAATCCCTAGGAGGGATGGGACTGAGGCTCTGCTGAACTGAACCCGTGGTGAGGCATTGAGGGGGATTTGTATGAGAAAAGGTTTGTTTTAACAGTTTTTACATCTTTTAACAGCCTGCCATTTGGCAAAAACTCCCCCAAGCATCCCACTCTGCCAGTGGTGCCAGGGAAAGGGAAAAAAGTAATCAAAGGGTTGTGAGGCAGCGGCTCTGGCAGAACTAAAGCCCCGAACAAAGAGGCAAAAGTCTTTTGCAATTTTGGAAAACAAATGGTCTGTATCCTTACCTTCTGATCAACAACCCACTCTGCTGCCATAGCTTTAGTGCCAGTCACAGCAATTACTCTGTATCCCTGCCAAAAAAACCTTATTGGATGGGTGTCAGGAGAGAAATCGTGCAGTCCTGCTGTTCTCTCTGAATTAAACATTTGATTTTCCTGCATTTTCAGGAAGAACCGTGAACAGCTCAAGCTGTGTCTAATAACAGTCCACTTAGCAATTGCATTAACTGTGCACGTATTTACCCCCTTCATCTTTTGAATATGATTCCTCACGCAGAGCCTATGCCTTTTCCTTCATCCGGCAGAGCGCGGCACCTCTCACTCACATCCACAACCACGATGCAAAGGCTTGAAGAGGACAACCCCTGTGGCACACACCTGCACCTCCACCCACAGTGACCGCTGAGGGACCATGAGGCCATTCTTG